TGTTGAAACTGTACTTTCGATTTGATTTGAAACTGTCTCATTGCTATATGTTTATCAATAAAACTTTGAAAAGAAAAAAAAAGAAAAAGAAAAAGAAAATACAATCCAAAAGGTGATACAGAGAATAGATAAAATAATAAAGGTGACAAAATTATTGTTTATGAAAAACCAGTTTGCCCGGTGTGGTGGGCACACAGCTGTAAATCCCATCAACCCGGAGGCTGAAACAGGGAGATCATAAATTTGAGGCCAGGCAGAGGCCAGGGGATCTTCTGTTCAAGGTCATAAGAAGATCCTGTCTCAGAAAAATAAAATACCAGTTAACCATGCAAAGCAAGGCGCTAAACTGATATATTTTGTATTTGTCTTCAATCTTAACTGGCTACATTTAGTAATGCTGGTTTTGCTGATCGGAGCATCAATAGAATGAGAAACAAAAACAAGTTAGGAACAAAAAATAAGGAGAAATATCTTCATTAAATGCAACTGCAGCTCTACTTTAATTTTTAATGTTCAATTGCAGGTCTTACTTAGGAAAGAATGTAAGGCTGATTCCATGGCAACAAACACTGCTGTGATGGAAATCTCTAACAAGTGCACCAAGTAGAAGTCCAGTATCTACTAAGAGTATGTGATTTGCTGATGAGACAGTTCAGCGGTCTAACACAGCTGCTTAGGCAAGCTTAGGCAAGTGCAGGGACCGAGGTTTGATTCCTGGCAGCACATGCTGAGCCAGCCCCCCCAAAAATATGATTCAACTCAAGTTGTCAAAAATAAACTATAGTACAAAAGGGCCAGCAAGATACCTCAGCAAACTAAAGTGCCTGCTTAGGCAAGCTCAATGACCTGGGTGTGCCTTCCCCGCCCTGCCCCAGGGCATGCTGAGAAGAGACCAAGACTGGGTGTGATGTGTGCACCTGTAGTCCCAAGATTGGGAGGATTATAAGTCTGATCTGTGTAGTGAGACCCTGTAGACCCTATAGAAAAAGAAAAAAAAAAAACAAAAAAACACTACAGTACAACACAAGAATTAGAGAGTCCACCTGAATTTAGCCAAGTTAAAGATCCTGGTATAAAATTCAGACTAGTATTAGTGACTAACATGTATAGAATTTTAGGACTTTTAGCTCAATTAGAATTAAAATTTGAAGACAATCCTACTAAGACAATACTAAAATACTTGTTCTATTTATATTAGGGAATTTTATTCAAATTTATCCCTATCTATACCACATATCTAGTACTACCAAAAACAAGTGAACTGCTCTGCAAATGAACTTGCTTTTCCTCCAAAATTCATCCCTCTTCCATTAACAATTCCACTTTATAGGGTATATTGCTAGGCTTAAAAATTTCAGCATCCTTTGTCTCTTCCTTTCACCTCAAAACCTACCAAAAAATACAATCACAATGTCATAAAATACTTTTTACACTCATTATAAAGACAGTTTAAACATCATCATTAGTACTCACTTGTACTCTAACCACGTTCTAAGTCTCCAGATTCAGTGCACCTTACAAACTCAAGCCACATTAAAGCTTTAAGAAATAGATCACATCATACCCTATGTCAAAATGTGAAAGGTAATCCTGCTGAATACAGAATAAAAGTTCATGCTCATTGGCTCCTAATTCAAACTCTTTCTCATATAGCATCACTCTGCTTCTCTAGCATTTTCCATTCCGAGAAAGGTACCATTCCCTACAACCAAAGACAACTAACCAATATTTGTTAGACCTGATCTATAGTTTCTGATTTACTTTCATCTATGGCTAATACATTCATTTACTTAAAATTACATTCCTCTTGATTAATCCATCCACTTATCTAGGGTACAGTTTAAGCATCATCTCTTTCATTATGCCTTCACTGTTCCCCACCTGTTTGTAAATCCACCTTTAGCGAACATCCACAACACCTTGTGAATTTATGAATACCTCACACTTTCCACAATTTTAGCAAAAGATTTCTAAAGGGAAAATTCCTTAAAGAAACTACCTGCTGAGCTCCTGTAGCCATATATATGCCTTCTTGAACATACATATCATGCTGATAAACAGTATAGTCAGTAAAATAGCATAATGACAACTTATCTAGTAGGGAATATGTTAATTTGGAACTAGACTACGATCTAAGAGTCGATAGTAAAAAGTAACAGGGTTCTTAAATTAGGTTACTAAATAATAAGGTCAAAGGGGAAAAAAATAAAATCTACATACTCTTATAACACAAAACTAAAATACCAAGCATATTATTTTTTTCTACATACATATTAGCAACTTAATTTTCTATATGAAAAAGTTGAAAAAGAGGGGATTTTTTTGTGTGTGTGTGGAACCAGGGATTGAACTCAGGCCCTTGTGCTTGCCAGGGAAGCACTTATTCTATGGAGCCATCTCCCCAGCCCTGAAAAGAGTTGTTGACAGCATAATGAAATAAAAAAGAAATCTTCCCTTACTTCTACTGAGCTTTGGAAATCTGTTTTTCAGTTTCTTCTTTAATGGATTAAGGTCAGGCATTATTTCTGGTACAGCTACATAAAAATCTGCATAAATTTCATCATCTAAAATCTGAAAATCAAGAAAAAAGAAGATAATCTTAGATTCCATGTAAACCTTTATCTTTCTGAAAATACATAATTTTTATTATGACTCAGAAAAGAAATACTAAGCACAATTCTTTTCTTCAAACACAAGGATCATATGAAGATATTTATCAATTATGAATATCATCAGAAATGAAAGATTCTCTTATTTTATTTTTAAAATAGTCACATCCATTACTTAAAAAATTATTTAAATATTTCAATTCTTCTGTAGGGCTGTTGTAAACAAAACTGCAAACTAGAACATAGCACCAATATTCACACAAGTTATGTAATCTTACAAAACTGAAGAAACAAACTCAAAGTTTGTTTCAATAAACCACATATAAAATTAATAACCAGGGCCGGGGAGATAGCTCAGTAGAACAAGCACTTGCCTGGGAAGCAGAGAGTCCTGAGTTCAATCCCCAGTACCACAAAAAATAAATAATAAATAAAATTAATAACCATTGGCTGCCAAACTATTAGCCATTAGCTTTGTAAATTTAAAATATCAGAGAACTGATTCTGTAATTATTTTTGCAAAGAAATAAATTACTATTTTGCCACAAATAACTAAAAAAGATAAGGAAGGTGGTAAAAGACAATTTTTGTTTTTTTATACGTATATAGTACAGGGTCTATATGGTCTCACTGTGTAGACTGGACTCAGTGATTCTCCTGTTTTCAGCCTGCTGAGTGCTAGGATTACAGGCATGTCAGCACACCCAGGAGGGCAGGGGCGGGGCCGGCACCTCATGCCCAGAATTGAACCCCAGCTGCTACACTCTGCCTAAGCAGGTGCTTTAGTCTGCTGAGCTATCTGGCTGGACCTCGTTTTAGTTTACTAACCATACTGTTCTTCCGTTCTCAGGATAAAGAATAATCAATTATTTAAAGAATTTTTATTAAGTCAGGCACATAATTACCATAGAAGTCACTATAATCTACCTAAAAGTTCAGTTGATTATAAAATGAAACAATTTCTTGGAACAATATTACCTGAGTAACAAGTATTTCATCGGTGATTCTTTTTTTCATGGAAAATTTTACCAAAATATGTCACCCAAAGCTTTGGTTGAGGGTCATACAACAAATCCCAAAAAATTTGAACTCTAGCTAACTCTTAACTTTTATCTCCTTGTTATAAATTTTATTTATTTGTTTATTTATTTGGTAGTGGGGGCCTGCCCCTCAGCTCAGTTCTTTAAAAGTGGCTGCTTCAACAAAGCAGTCAGGCTCAAGTTGCTGTGGTTTGATCCACAGAACTCCAGCCAGCCAAACCTGCCCTGAAGGCATTCTGAGTCAGTCAAAAAAAAAAAAAAAAAAATCCTTCTGCTATTTATTTGGTTGTACTGAGAACTGAAGCTAGGAACTTCACATTGAGCTACATCCATTTCCTCCTTTTCTTTAATTTATTAATTCATTTATTCATTTTATGGCTGGGTCTTGCTGTTCAATATTTTATATGGCTAAGTTTACACCGTCTTCACAACAACCCTATTGGACAGATTCTAACACTGATCACACATTCTAGATAAGGACCGAGGGCACAGTGAAGACAGGTCAGCCTATACACCCCTGTGAAGCTGAGTCAGAACTCAACCACAGGCGATAAGGTTCTACAGCTAAGAAAACAAAGGCAAATTTTTAAACATCAAAGAACTGTATGTGCTATTTCTAATCTAAGACCTTCTAAAATTTAGTCCCTCTAAATTTTTAAATTATGTTTGAAAGTTATTCTATAACTAACTTAAGCTCACACCTTGGAATAATACAAATCTACGTATGGAAATCATAATCTCAGAGACAAGCAAAAACATGAAATTATTTTTGAATCACTCAGAACCAAGCATATCTGTGATGTTTCAAACTAAAATGAATAAATAAGGTCTTTCCTAAGAAACAACTGAAAGGTTACTAACTTTGTCCTACATTACACTTTAAAAGAGCAAAGTAAAATATACTAATTTAGAAACAAAGTATGGCAGCCGGTGGTGCTGCTAAGTGGGGCAGTGCTTGCCTAACGTGTATGAGGCCCCTCTGAGCCCCAACAAAACCGGGGGAAGGGGGTAAAGAAGGAAAGAATGGAAGGAAACAGATGGAAAGTAGTGGGAAGTTTAATAAGAATAGTTCTCTGACTATTTATTTATTTATTTATTTATTTGCAGTACCAGGGATCAAACTCAGGACCTCGTGTTTGCCAAGTAAGCTCATTCCACTGAACTATCTCCCAGGCCCTGTTCTCTGACTCTAGAGACCAAGATCTAATCTCAAATTCCCAAGCATTTGTAGCATATTTACTTTTTAATAATTAAAAAAAATTAAGTAATTATTTGAAACTCAAAATATTAAAATTAATGATATGCCAGAAAAAAATGGGTTGTATACTCTGACTTAGTGTTAAAACATAATCTCTTTTTACTATCCACTAATTCTGCTTCCAAAACTCATTTTGGATGGGGCTGGGGAGATGACTCAGTAAAATAAGTGCTTGCCTGGCAAGCAGAAGGTCCTGAGTTCAATCCCTGGTACCACCAAAACAAAAATCAAACAAACAAACAAAAAACCTCATTTTGGAGATTCTCCTTAAAAATTTACAATCTCTAGCAAATTTCTTTTTTTTTAAATTTCAAGTATTATTGGACTTGGAAAAATGAACCACAAGTACCTGGGCAAGACTGTGCATACCTGTATGTAATCCCAGACTCTGGGAGCTGAGGTAGGAAGATACTCCAAGTTTGAGGTGAGTTTGGGCCACACAGTGAGTTCAAGGCCAGCCAAGAACACATAGCAAGACACTGTCTGAAAACTAAATTAAAGCAAAACAAACTACAAGCACTCCTGCATATCACAAAGAACAAACTTAAGACTTCCCCAAAAGGAAATCTGAGTATGGTACAAAGGATTACAGTTCCAAGTCATCCCCCCCGCAAAAAAAAATCCATAATCATAATGATTATATTTTGAAGAGGGGCTGGCTTGTAGAGAATGTCAAGAAAAGCCTTTCAAGGGCCAGCACGATAGCTCAGCAGACTAAAGCGCCTGCTTAGGCAGCGCACAGTGGTCAGGAATCAATCGTGGTCAGGGTTCAATCCCCGGCATGCCCTGCTGGCCCATGGAGTGCACTGAGAGGATGATTGAGGCTGGGCATGGTCCGTATGCCTGCAATTCCAGAACTTGTGAGGCTGAAGACAGGAGAATCACTAGAAGTCCAATCTACATAGTGAGACCCTGTAAACCCTGTCCTAAATACAGAAAAAAAAAAAAGTCTTTTGTGTTTTCAGAAATCTATGTGCCTCTTTTTTCAACCTCTTAGAGACAAAAACAACAACAAAAAAAGTACTATTATTTCCAAAAGGGTTCCATGAGGTTTTTGTGATTTTTCTAAAAGCAGCATACATAATCATCTGTCAGTTACCATGCTGAGCCTGTGCCACTCTGAAATGACTGGGGAGAAAAATTAATAGGAACCAAAAGCAATATATTGTAGAGGTCAGATGTTATGTTTTAACTTTTTTTTTTTTTTTTTTGCGGTACCATGGATTGAACTCTGAACCTTGTGCTTGCCAGGCAGGTGCTTATGCCACTGAGCTATAACCCCAGTCCATCAAATATGATGTTTGTGATCTACAAATGAATCACACTTTCACTTCAAGGAAGCAAATCAAGTATTTGATCTTTTTAGGATACAAATAGACATATCCAGTGTGCTACCTTTTAGATTTTACTTTAAATCTCACATTTAAAATCTGAGTCATATTGCCCTTTCCTTCCAACCCACAAGAGATATTAAGAAAGCAAAATAAATAATAGAATTTTAAAAATCATAACATGCCTGACCTCGGTTCTGTCGCTTGTACCAAATGCCACGCCAGTCCCGCGCCGTATGAGCCACTGAAACCAGGCGTGGTGGTGCACACCTGTAATCCCAGTGCCCAGGAGGCTGAGACAGGAGGATCACTATGAGTCTGAGCTGCCCCATAGCAAGACCCTGTACAAAATAAAGCAATAAAGGGGGCCAGCCAAATAGCTCAGCGGATTAAAGCACCTGCAAGCAGGTGCAGGGGCCAGGGCTTAATTTCTGGGCCTGCCATGCTGGCCCCACCCCAGGGCATGCTGAGACAGCAACTGAGACTGTGCGCAGTGGCACTCACCTGTAATCCCAGCTCTTGAGAGGCTGTAAACAGGAGGATCATTATGAGTCTGATTTAGTAGTGAGACCCTGTACACCCTATAGACCCTTCCCTAAAATACAAAATTAAGGGCTGGGGAGATGGCTCAGTGGAATAAGCACTTCCCTGGCAAGTGCAAGGGCCTGAGTTCTATCCCCAATTCCCACCCCCCCCAAAAAAAATTAATCAATCAATCAATCTTAAAAAAATCACAAGTCAAATATAATCAACAGCAGACTGTCCAGTATATGTGCTGCCGAAGTGAGCACAATAGCAGACTGTTTGAAAGCTCTTTCTTACCTTGATTTAGAAACAAAAAGAAGTATGAAAATGTTCCCCATTCTGTGAAGACCTACTAACCATTTTCCAGTAGAAAGGAGTCTCGTGAGTATATTCAACATACCACTGGACCACAGCAAAGGACACAGGACAATCTCTATAATTAGTGAACACAAAAGCACTACTGTACCTTCTGGATCAGAGTAGCTCCTCCTGCAAACGCAGCTCCTTGTCCTTCTGCCAGTTCAATATCTGATGGATTCTACCAAAACAAGTGTGAATATCAATCTTTAATTTTAAACAAACTCAGTACATTTTTAAGAATTTTGTCAGAGATAATATCACAGTCAAAAATAAAATTTATTTTTAATTAAAAATGAATCAATTTTCAGCCAGCTATGTATCACAGATATATTAACACTGAGAACAAGTTTAGTTTGAGGTGTTTTTCGACTGACACCTGAGGAAATACATCAAAATGGCATTATTAGGAACATACCAAACAGTAGGCCTCCAAGTTTATCAATATACTAGCTTCACAAAGCAAAAAATTAAAAATTGTTTGGTTTTCTTAGTGTAAACCAATAAACCAATTTATAAAACCAATATGAAAAATCAATGAACCAGAATTTAGCAAGTATCTGAAAATTTCCAAAAAAAATAAATAAACAGTACTATCTGGGGTGTCCTTTATTTTCAATCCTTACCATTTGATTTTATCACAAAAATGTTTCACTTAATAAAGTTTATGGCATTCCAACTATATTCCCCAATTTTTGGGGTAAAATGCAGTTTCTCCCTTGACAATAAGGCAGAGAAAATTTAAAAATGTCTCAACTCTGAGTTTCAGGTAAAGAAGAATCAAAACACAAAAAATCCAAAACACAGTAAGACAAAAGTTGGTCTTACAAAGAGCTGCACTGCTACATTAGCTGCATACTTCACTTCTCTGTTTTTAAAAGTTGCTGGGCATCTCAGGCTCCCCCAAATGAGCTAGACCTAACGCTGTAAAATAATCCCACTGTTCTCTAATGAGGGAGGCTTTAATAGAAAGTAGAAGTTATTCAGAATAAACTCCATAATTCTCTTTAGTTTATTTTGAGAAATCAATGTAGTGGACTAACATTAGTGAAAGCAAAGTTCTAGTTTAGCACTTTCTCAAACTAGTGCCATACCCTCCAATAAGTCATCTACTTCAAACTTCAAATAGGGAAAATAAGACTTCAGTGATTAATAACATTTTCTCTAGTTACCTGGGCCTGGTGGTACACACCTGTAATCCCAGCACCCTGGGAGGCTGACAGAGAAGGGTCACCAGTTTGAGTCCAGCTTGAGCAACTTAGTGACTAAACTTTAAGGGGTGGGTTGCTACATTAGTTGCATTCTTGACTTCCCTGATTAAGTGTTTTTAAAAATTGCTGGGCATCTGAGGCTCCACAGAACTAGCCAGACCTACTGCTGTAGAATAATCCCACTGTTCACTGTTTCATCATCAATGTGAAGGTCCTAGGTTCAATTCCAGTGCTGCACCATCATCATCTCTATTTATTTCACTTATTCTAATCATCAACATACTCTAGAAAAATTAAATAATACAGGTCGTTGACAAAAGTTACTCACCCCTGTTAATACAGCAACTTTATTGGATTCCAAAGAGAACGGATATGGAAAACTAATAACACTGGCAAATGGTTCCACTCTTTTCTAAACACAAGAAGGAAAAAAAAATTATAAAAAGTCCACCCTTTTTATTATCTCTCACATTCTATATAAAACAAAACTGACAAGCTTTTAGTTTTTTAATTTAGTTTTTTAAATATGTCTTCCCATTAATCTAGAACTAGGGCCGGGGAGATAGCTCAGTAGAATAAGTGCCTTCCTGGAAAGCACAGGGTCCTAAATTCAATCCCCAGTACCGCAAAAAAAAATAATCATCATTATCATCATCATCATTATCATCTAGAACTATTCGTTGACTACAACTTAAAGCTAAAGAAAGATTTTCTTTTTTTTTTTTTTGTATTTTAGGGAAGGGTCTATAGGGTGTTCAGGGTCTCACTACTAGATCAGACTCATAATGATCCACCTGTTTACAGCCTCCCAAGAGCTGGGATTACAGGTGTGTGCCACCAAGCCCTGTCTAAATTATTGTCTCAGGGTGACCTGGGTTGGGGGCCAGTACAGCAGGCCCAGGGATTGAATCCCTGGCCCCTGCGCCTGCTTGCAGGAGCTTTAATTTGCTGAGCTTTTTGGCCGGCCCTAAGAAATGTTTCTTTTTCAAGAAACTCTAATAAAAACTCTAATAAAACTCTTTGTCCCAGATCCACACTCCACACTTGGCATCTATCTCTGTAAGTCACCAGGCTCTCAAATACAAACTGGTATGTTTGAATTATCTGTATCTCACCAGCACCTAATACAGTGTTTTCCATTTCAATTTTGTCTACTGATGTTTGTACCTTTAATTAGTTTAAATTTTTTTTTTTTTTTTTCGGAACCGGGGATTGAACTCAGGCCCTTCCACTTGCCAGGGAAGCACTTATTCCACTGAGCCATCTCCCCGGCCCCTAATTAGTTTAATTTTTAAAAGGATGCAATTTTCTATCATCAAGGAGAACATGAACACAACTGTACATACTGAACAGACAATCCAGTTGATCTGCTCAGTTGATCATCCTTAATTGCCAACATTGCTCTAAACCAGTGATGGTGAACCTTTTAGAGACAAGTGCCCAAACAGCATCCCAAAATCCACTATCGCCAAATCCTAACACTGCAATTAAACCTGAATACTAAGGTTTTAATTTAGAAAAAGCAAGCAGATGTGGTGGTGCATTCCTGTAATCCCAGCACTTGGGAGGCTGAGATAGGAAGACTGCTGTGAGTTTGAAATCATATGCAAGTGAGTCCATTCACTATATGGACTACATGCTGAGTTCAAAGCCAGCCTGAACTAGGTAGCAAGACTCCACCTCAAAAAAAAAAAAATCCCAACTTGTACATTAACATCTTTTGTCTTTAAAGAAAAATAACACCTGTGCCATAGGTTTGCTACCACTCCTCTGAAAAATTAGGTAGCATAAACCCTAACCCACGATAGAATTATCTTCTGAGCGGGGCTATTTTGAAGTCACTGACAGGTCTATTAAGTCTACTGGCAAACCCAAAATAAACAAGGGAAGCATTTCAGGCAGCTAGATGAGACTACAGGGCCACAAAACTAACAGGCTCAGTCATTTTGCACAAGGACTTAAGTAGACACAAGACTCAAATCTCTTAGGGAGACTTCATACAAAAACAAGTTCTAGGCCCTGCACAATGTTGGTATGGCCTGAAGACCTGGAAGAGAATCAGGACTGTTCTTCTAATAAAACTAATTTAAAAATTATGCTTTTAGAAACATTTTGAGTAGAGACATCCTCTTTAGAGATAAGAAGGCATAAATTCCTATTTTAGATCAGCCATACAACTTAGTTTTATTGACTGGAATTCTTTTGCCATTAACATGTTACAACTGGTTTCAGTACACCACTACTTGCTGAGCAACCATGCTAACAGCACCCCCTGTGAAATACTGCCTTGTACTCACTATGGATAAAAGAAAGAAAGCTTTAGGACAGTGGCAGTATCTTCTCAATTGCACTTGTTTACAAGTGGCTTCATATATGAAATAAAGCTTGTTGTCCTACAGGACACTGTTATGAATGACATTAATGGTTGATTGAGAAAGAGATCATCTCTGACAGTACAAAATATTTAAAATAAAAGAATTAAAACTAAGGTGCAAAACAGAAATTGTGCCATGGCTGGCATAAATTGCTCTCAATGAATGAGAACTAACAAATGAGCACTGTTTTCTCATAGGTATGCTCTTATGGAGGCCATCAAGTTGTGTTAAAAGGGCCAGGGAGAAGGCTCAGTAGAAGAGTGCTTGCCTGG